AATTCCCAGCAACCTATTGTTTCCGACCATGAAAGCCTTTGACAACATATAGCTGCTGTTTCTCTACAAAATACCAATGACTTTCAACACATACCTCCTGGTTTTGTGCAGGCTCCCAGTATATTAACCACATTGAGATGATGACCGATATGAATGAGGATTTTGAGCTCAGACATCAGTGCCCTGTGTTCACTGTCTGTTGCTCCCTCTGTTAAAGGAAAATAAACATGTATATTGTTTTTGCTAAATACAGAGAGTAGAAATAAAGTTTCATCTGSCACCTTTCATCAAAGTAGGAAGARAAAGAACAGAATGTCACTAATTATCCATATCGATTGGAAAATATGATGATGATGAAGTAGGTTTCATAAAAAATGTGCACAGTTGTTAATATCTGTGCATGTCTGGCAGTTTTAGCTTCAAGGCGGGTAATAGTCAGTCCCATGTAGAAGAATGCAGAACACCTACAATATTTGACATTACAAGATAGCAGTAACCGTCATGCTTTCCCTTATCCTATTACTACAAATTGTATACCCTTTTCCCATAAGTCTGCAATCCAAAATATTTCAAATTCCAAAATTGTTCACAGGAGTGGCTGAGATAGTGACACCTTTGCACTGGTTCATGCACAAAAATATTAGAAATATTGTTTATAAAGCTACCTTCAGGTTATGTGTATAAGGAACATATGAGACACAACTGAATTTCATGTTTAGATTTGGATCCCATTTTCAAGATATCTCATTATGTATATGCAAATATTCAAAAGTCTTGGGGGGGGGGATCCAAAATCCCAAACATTTCTTATTCCAAGCACTTCGGATAAGGGATACTCAACCTGTACCACCTAGTCAGCTTTTGCAGTCATTAGTGTGTGTTAATAACATCTCTTTTTGAGACGTTTCTTAGTCCTTGATTCTCACCTTTAAGCATTTTGACAGCAACCGTTCGGCAAGCAGAAGCCTTGTCAATTCCAAAGGCATTGGCTTCAATAACTTGGCCAAATGTTCCCYGTCCTAGTGGCTTACCTGAATGCAAAGGGAAAAGAAAAAAAMCCTGGATAACTTTGTATATTGCTGTAATCCAAATAACCACTCAGTAAACGGGACCCGAACAGTAGGCTACAACAAAGGAGCAGTGAAAGAACACCAGGACTAGCTGGAAAACAACCAACTAAAGGAGTGTCATAGAATCATAGAGTTGGAAGAGACCTTGTGGGCCTTTCCAATCCAACCCCCTGCCAAGAAGCAGGAAAATCACATTTAAAGCACCCCCGACAGATGGCTATCCAGCCTCTGTTTAAAAGCCTCCAAGAAGGAGCCACCATCACACTCCAGGGCAGAGAGTTCCACTGGTGAACAGCTCTCACAGTCAGGAAGTCCTTCCCAATGTTCAGGTAGAATCTCCTTTTCTGTAGTTTGAAGCCATTGTTCCACATCCTAGTTTCCAGGGCAGCAGAAAACAAGTTTTCTCCATATGACTATCCCCTCGCATATTTATATATGGCCATTAAGTCTCCTTTCAGTCTTCTCTTCTCCAGGCTAAACATGCCCAGCAATTGTATTGTTAATGCCTGTTCCAACGAGGCATTAATAATTCCCATAAATCACTTGGCCAATCCCCGCTGGCAAGTTTCATAAGCTAGGAGGGGCAAGGGTGTAGAGGACATATGGTCACTCTCACAGATCCAAGAATCTTGTTCATGTCATCAGGTTGAACTTATTGAAACGAATCCCACACAATAGGACAGGCAGATGTCTCAGGTACATCTACTGCTGTGGTTCTCAAATTTCCTAATGCCGCAACCCCTTAATACAATTTCTCATCTTGTGGTGACCCCCAATCATAAAATTATTTTTGTTGCTGCTTCATAACTGTAATTTTGCTACTGTTATGCATTGTAATATAAATATCTGATATGCAGGACATATTATCATTCACTGGACYAGATTTGGCACAAATACCCAATATGCCCTAATTTGAATACTGGTAAGGTGGGGTGTGTGTGTGTGTTGATTTTGTCATTTGGGAGTTGTAGTTGCTGGGATTGATAGTTCACCCTTTCAGAAAATACTGAAAGGGTTTGGTGGGCATTGACCTTGAGCTTTGGAGTTGTAGTTCATCTACATCCAGAGAACACTGTGGATTCAAACAATGAATGATCTGGACCAAACTTGGCATGGATAATCAAAATGACCAAATGTGAACATTGGTGGAGTTTGGGGAAAATAAACCTTGACATTTGGGAGTTGTAGTTGATCATCTACACTGGCATTTTTCTAATAAACAATGGATCAGATTTCCTAAGTTATATTACCACACATCCAAAAACAAACAATGCCTATCTCAACGACTTCAATTTCCAATGTGCCTTGCATTCTCCATGACTATCAATAAAGCACAGGGGCAATCTTTGCAAGTGTGCAGTTTGACTTTAGAGAACAATTGCTTCTCTCATAGGCACTTATATGTTGCATGCTCCAGAGTCAGTAAACTGTCTGATCTTTATGTTTATGCAGAAAACAGACAAACCAAAAATGTAGTCAATCCACTAGCTTTACAATAAAAATGGTTGCTGGTAAAAACCTTTTTTCCTTTCCTTTCCTTTCATTCTACATAGACACAGCAATGCAAGCTGGGTATTGAATTGAATGATGTATTTCCTCAGTGAGTCTATGTTCACAACAATACTTTTATTTACTTTCACATTCATTTCATATCAGACTGAGCCATAGAAAGGCATGCCTGGGTTTAGCTAGTCTTATATATTTATTTGACACTTTTGTTCAATCTGCCCTGCCTCCAGAAAATAGTCAATCTAGAAATGTCTTACAGATTCAGGAGTGTCAATGTATACAGAGTGGGGTTTGTTTTCCAGAGGAAAATGCACTGGGCATTGAATTTGCATCTCGTGATCCTCAGGCTAATATTCATTAAAGCAGCTTCTACTTTCAGGGATAGGGGATAGTCACTAATTTGTTCATGAAAGCAAAGCATACCTAGTTTGAGCTTCTCCCTGGGAAACTCCCACTTGCTGGCATCAGAAGGAAGATGTTCACTCTGCTCATCCAGAGGGACTTCATTTGGGTCCTTGATGATGGGCAGGTCTTCGGTTTTGGCCTGGAAAAAAGTAGGATTATGGCTAATTAGTATTACTATGGTAACAAGAGAAGTAAAAAACATGCCTGTTGATTTAAAGACAATGCAAGAAACAATACAAAAGAGGGCCCATCACTTTTCATTTGTCTTGCAAGATTGAGTCTTCCAGAGACAGAGGGAGAAGGGGTTTCATTACCTGTTTCACCTTCCATAGAATGATGACAAGGAGCAACCAGAATAACGTGGCAATTACTGCAGTTTCAACCCGAATAATGAGTTTGAGGTTTGTTTTCTCATCAGTCCCTGGGAAGAAACAATTTAACAATTCACTAGTAGGAGATGATAATCTGTTTGAGGTAGGTCACTAGTCGAAACTCTGAAAAGAGTTAGTTGTTCAGGAATGACAACCTGAGAGGTCTCATACATTGCAATTCAATTAAGACAAAAGCATGTCAAAGGGAAAACATTATCTGCATCACATAATCACTATGTAACAACCACTAAATCACTGGAGAGCCAGTGCTATAACATGGGCAGCAAAGAGTCTTGACTACAAATATGTTACTCAAAATAGATCTGACAGCATTGCTCTCTGTTTACTTTGCATATTCCTAGCCTTTTCCTGTCTGTCTTCTCTTTGGACTTGGCACTCCATGGGCTTTGTTTCTTGCATCACAGCTTCTGCATACCCAACTTTGGTTTCCATCTTACCCAATTCCATTTAGCCACTTAGGCATAATCCATTTATTAGAGAACACAGAATAGGTATTTGGTGTAAACATGAATCAAATAAAACATAAAAGGAGGAAAACCTAAGACACAGGAAATCTTTACCATTGCATAGAAATACTAACCTTCCACTTCAAAAAATGCTACTGCTTTTGTGCAGCCCAGAACATTGCAGGCATGGCAGGTGTAGATCCCTTCATCCTCTTTCCTTACCCTTCGGATGGTTAGATTCCTGTTCCCATCTTTCAAAATAATGCCTTACAGAGAAGAGAAGCACCACAATTACTCTTCTGCTGCTATTGTTTGTTCAAATTAGATTTTGTTATTGAGCAGGAGACATTGAAACATATAAATTTTGTCAGTTTTCTTTTTAAATCTTCAAATGTGTGTGAAATACGGTAAGGCACATTCAAGAAACCCTCCTCCATATCTTTGCTCAAATAAGAGAACATGGGAAATGAATGCAGATCTTAGACTGAATCAGGCTCAATCTCCCAAACCTGCTAATAGGGGTGAGAATCAATCATGGACAACGTTAAAAGTTACTCCCAGCCCCCCTCTCACCCCAATCATTGGAGGATTCTGGGAGTTGTTGTCCATATTTGGAACTGTTTTTGGCTGAAAATGTAAAAATGACAGAGTGACCAGCATTTTGTGCAGTTTTAACCTAATATTAACATTACCTGGTATTTTTAAGGAAATTATTCTGCACCAAAATACATAGTTTCTTTATGCAACAATTGTGGGGGTTAGGATAAACACAGTTTCCAAATAGGTATAAATCTGTAAGTAAGTACCACTCTGTAAGTAAGTACCACACTATCAGAGCAGGAACCATTTTTTCCATTTTTATTTGAGAACTACCACAATAGGATTCCCAATTGAGAGGACAGGATCCACTGCTTACAGCATACACTTTTCAGACTAGGCCGGAACTGGAGTTGCTCACGTGCCTGCCGACTCTTGTATTCCTTAAGTAAGCAGAGGAACAACGGCTAACACACAATAAGGATGGCTCTCATGCTACAGCTATGATCAGACAGGAAAAACAATGTACAGTAATCCCTCACTTATCGCGGGTGTTCCATTTCAGGACCACCTGCAATAAATGAAAATCCGTGAAGTAGGGACACTCTGCCTACTCGAGTGAGCGGAGTGTCCCTTGGCGGTGGCCTTCTTCTCATCCCCTCCACTGCTCTGTGCCTCAGATGGTCCCTTCCTCATCAGACTGGGCGCCCAAGCCTGGCAAAGAAGGAGCGCAGAACAGCAGAGGGGCAAAGAGGAAGCCGCTGCCACTGAGGCCTTCTTCGGCAGCAGCCTCCTCTTCGYCCCCTCCGCTGCTCCATGCCCKAGAGCAGTGGTCCTCAAAACTAAGGCTCGGGGGCCGAATAYAGCCCTCCAAGGTCATTTACTCAGCCCTCACTCAGGGTCAACCTAAGTCTGAAATTACTTGAAAACACACAACAACAACAATCCTATCTCATCAGCCAAAAGCCGGTCCACACTTCCCATTGAAATACAAATAAGTTTATATTTGTTAAAATTGTTCCTCATTTTAATTATTRTATTGTTTTTAAGTGGGTTTTTTTTTGCACTACAAATAAGATATATGCAGTGTGCATAGGAATTCATTCATTTTTTTTTCCAAATTATAATCCAGCCCTCCAACGGTTTGAGGGACTGTGACCTGGCCCTCTGTTTAAAAGGTTTGAGGACTCCTGCCCTAGAGGGTCCCTTCCTCACCAGGCTAGGCATCCAAGCCTGGCACCCAGCCTGGCGAGGAAGGAGCACAGAGGGGCAAGGCGAAAGCTGTTGCCATCGAGGCCCTGTTCAGCAGCGGCCTCCTCCTCACCCCCTCCTCTGCTCCATACCTTGTAGGGTCCTTTCATCGCCAGGCTTGGTGCCCAAGCTTKGCGCCAAGCCTGGCGAGGAAGGAGYGCAGAGCAGTGGAGGGGTGAGGGGGAGGACACTATCGCTGAGACTCTTTTCAGCGGCRGCCTCCTCCTCTTTGCCACCTCCATTACAGAGAGGGAACACTGAAATGTGAAAGATACGTTCTGCACAAKAAATAACTAAAACATATCCAAAATCAATGAAGAATTTTACATAAGCAACTTGACAAGTGAACCTGCTAGACACAATAGTCAGTCTCACCTGAGTCTTCAACAAGAGTTTTATTGTTTTTAAACCAGGTGATGAGCGGGGAAGGGATTCCATTTGCTACACATGATACTTGCATTGTTTCACCAATACTTGTTGTTTGATTCTCTAGGTTTCCCATAATTGTAGGTACCACCAATTCTATTTGAGAAGGAGAAAATTAAATGTCAAATAATGTTCAAATAGCTGTTTTGGAATCACAGTTATTAGTCATGAAATTTTCAGATTCCACTTAAGGTATGGAAGTAACAGAAATGCTTATTTCCAGTATCATGAATAGCAGCAAGTTGTATATCTATTATGTAAAAATTGTTGGAACCAATTTTGGAGGTTAGGAAACTACACAACATCTACACAACAAATTCCACAATGTCATATTGTAGAAGTGCTTCCTTTCATTTGTCTAGCTGTTTTGCTTCAGTACCCTTATGCTGTCTATAAACCAATTGGACTAGAAACTCCAATGAAATTCTCCAGAAACTCATGTATCAGGAGTGCATTCCTTTCTCGTTAAAACAGTAATAATTCATTTCTTCTGCTCTTCCCAAATGTTGACTCAAAAATATGCATTCAAAATTCACATTTAGAAAGAAAATATTTTAAAATATGCATTYAATAATGTAAAATTTTGTAGGTTTTTTATTTTAAAATTACCAAACATTGTATTGGTGAATRTGATGCAATTAACTCAGGAATAACCAAATATGAAAGTGATCATAAGCAGTCAGGTCTATCTGTTAGAGGTGTGCATGTGGTGCGAATGTATTTGGGAGTTGTAAGTTATTTGAAAGTACAGCAATTTCGAAGAGAGTTCTGACGCACCTGCTTTCTGCCCTCCCAATATTAAGAATTTGAATCAAAAGGAGCCTTCAATTCTTATGGCTTGGATGTCTTTGGAAGTAGCTGTGACGCAGCTAAAATTCACAGGGCAACCAAATCCTGCYGAAAAGTGACGGAGGAGGGAGGCGGAGGCAGAGATCACTCTTGCAGTTTATTTTTAAAACTGTTTTTTAATTGAMAATTACCAAAATATCTGTGGATGAGTGAAACATTATGAAACATGGTAGGCAAAGAGTGGTAAACATGTTCTGCCATTGTAGCAAGTTTCACCCAAATAGCTTTAAAAATKAGGGAGAAAGGAGCCCCTGAAGTWTCCCTATTTATAGTTATTTAACTGGAAGCAAGGAGAAGCCATATGCCTGTGATAAAYTACATTTCCCAGAATTCATTGGGCTACAGTAGCCAGCCATGACGTTTAGTGTCAGTCTAATTATCATATATAAAATCATGGAATCTGCAAAGAGGAGTAAGTAATAGCATAAATCTGTGCTAAGTTGTAGTTATGTGGTTGTGTGTCAATGGAAAAGCCAAGTCTGTTGGCATGCCTCTCAGTCAATCAGGGCTGACAGAGGATGGAAGGGAGGGGGAGATAACTCTTGTCATTCTTTAAAAAAATGTTTTTAAAAACTTTGAAAATTCTCAAAACATCTATGGATTAGTGAAACATTGTGAAACTTGATGGGCTAAGAGGGGTAAATGTGTTCTACTATTATAGCAAGTTTCACCTCAATAGCTTTAAAAATGAGGGAGATAGGAGCCCCTGAAGTTTCCCTATTTATAGTAATTTAATGGGAAGAGAGGATTGTCATACCTGTGCTAAACTGCATTTCCCAGAATGCATTAGGCTGTAGCAGCCAGCCATGGCATTTGGAGTCAGTCTACTTTTTATAATATATAACATCATGGAATCTGCAAAGAGGAGTAGGCAATAGTATAAATCTGTGCTAATTTGTAGTTATGTGATTGTGTGTCAATAAAGGAAGCATATTAATTGGATGTCAGGAGAGTTTGGATGGTGCCTTTCTGCCTGGAAGAAGGGGGTCAGTCTAGATATCCCTTGATGGTGTCTGTACTATGATTTCTGTTTCTGGCTTATACATGGCAGTTCCTACTTGGTTCTGTCATAAGAACATGGCAAAAGTTTATTACACTGAAAAAACTTTGTCTTTGCACAAGGGATATTGTGCTACATATATAGCACATTTTATTTTGTTGCGTCTCCACTAATTTAATACAGTATCTGCCACAAAAACAAAGTTTCTGGAGTAAAATAATGACTTTCAAAATAAAGTCTATACACTTTCAAACCAGAAACAGATTTTCTTTATTATTAAAAAAATGTTTTCTTTTTAGAAAAACTTTGAAAATTCACCAAAGATCTGTAGATAAGTCAAACATTTTGAAATTTGGTGACCTACCAGTAGTAAATGTGTTCTACCATTATCACAAGTTTCACCTCAATAGCTTTACAAATGAGGGAGATAGGAGTCCCTGAATTTCCGCACAGGCTGTGATGTCTTTTTTTATTGAGTATGTGCGACTGCCCTTAAGTTTCATTAAGTTCTGAAATATGCACCACCCAAAATTCAGAAAGACTTTAGGAATGAAGCGGCAGCGCCCTCTATTATTGGAAGGAGGTCAGAACCATTTTAATGGATTGCACATTCCTACTATCTATCCCTGAAGCCTGGAAAGATTATTTTTTGTGTGGTAACACCCAGAAACCCCTGCTAAGTTGGCAGTTATACAATGCTGACTGAGACATATGGATGCTGTGGTTAAAAAAAGAACTGTAAGCCCTGTCAATTCCTAATCATAATGTGACAGAGCATCCCTTCTCAATGAATAGCAAGAAAATGAAAAATGGAGGAGCCAATGATTACATCAAAGAAAAAATACAAAGACTCTATCAGTGGCTGGATCTGCAAGATTAGTAGAAATATACTGTGGTTGAGGAGGGAGGGAGAGGAGGGAGGGAGGGAGGGAGGGAAAAATATAATTTACACCAGTGCAAACTAGCATAATGTCTTTAACATTTGTTGAATTACTCAGGATTTATACCTGTAACACCCAGAATTTGACTTATCAATTTGTGTTTATATCATAATAAAATATGTTTTAAAAAATGAATAGTAAGAACACACCTTGAACAGTGAGGTGTTTGACAAGACAGTGTCTCAATTTGGTCTTTTTGTCTTGTGCGATGCACACATAATCCCCACTATCTTGTAGGGAAATGTTCTGGAGAAGGAGCTCCATGGTGACTTTTTCCGTGTTGGCCCTTGAAGCCATGGCACTCTGTTGCTGAAGAGCCTCCAGGTTCTTGCAAACATGCATGGGCAGCCTCCCAAGTCTCATCATGGAGGCACGAGGGTTCAGCTTAAACCAGGTCAAGTTCTCAAAAGTCTGTCTGTCTGCCGTGCAGTGCAAGGAGACATTGTGCCTCTCAGTAGGCTGGCCTTGGGGCTGAAGATTAATTTCAAGACCTCCTATGAAGAAAAAAAAATGAAATAATTGGGAGAGATAGAGAGATCATCCATCATGGCCATACCTCTGGTGATTTTCTTATGGAAATGTCCAGGTAATGTAATCATTCTGAAAATGAATGAATTTCGATTCTTACATCTAGCTATATGATCAACTTAGAGCTTGGAAAAGGTATTCTTTGAGACTATAACCCAGAATTGCCAGATTGCGTGGTCACTTCTGACTGTAGGATTCCAGGAGTTCTAGTCTAGAATTTTTTGCAGACTCTGATTACTATTTTGTTTGTTTGGTTGTGTCAGGAGCGACTTGAGAAACTGCAAGTCGCTTCTGTTGTGAGAGAATTGGCCATCTGCAACTATTTTGTGTTCTTTGTGTCTGACGCACAAAGTACCAACAAATCACAGTGACTGCTAGGGAACACACAAATTATATAAACATTGTGTAAATGGAAAGTTATTTCCAGAACAATTGCTTGGGACCACTTAAAATTATTAAGAAATAAGTAGTTGCAACAAATTTTTGTGCTTCTGGAAAACTTTTATTTGACTGTCAATAGATTTGACTTTTGGTGTTGTTATGTGCCTCCAAGTCACCTCTGACTGATAGTGACACCATCATAGGGTTTTGTGGCAAGATTTATTTAGAGAAGGGTTTCGGTTGCCTTCTGACTTACCATGTCAGCAAGTATGTTTCAGTGGCATATGAAAGATTCAAATCCTGGTCTCAACAAGTTTTAATCCAACATTCAACCTACTATACCACACTGATTCCTTTAAAGAATTTGTTCATCATCATAAAGAACATTTCATTTTTCACAGTCAGAACTGGAAGTTATAGGTTAGAAGTAAAAACCATTTTAGAAACAAGCAACAGTTGAAGCYATCATGCATAACAATTCTAAAATACCACTTGTGTTTAAAGATTGTGGCAATTTTTAACAAAAAAAACCCTCCTGAAATTTGAAGTAGACATGACTATATGATGGCAGGGTTATATACTGCTAGAAAGTGCTTGTACAGCAAAGAACAGAGATGTGCAGAGTTTGGCCTGTAGGCAAATGCAACACCCTAACAATTTTTTTCTGTGACCCCCAGGTACCAAAATGAGTTTTCTTTTGCAAAAAAGTACAAGTTGGGGGCAATTTTATACTTTTTTAATACTGGTTTTATACTTTTCCCATATTTTAATTATTGCGGATATTATAAAATGATTTCCATTTTTCCTCTATTTTCTTCTTATCATACCATAGGTATGAGTGCCATCCTGTTCTGAGGTCAAAACCTTCTAATGTTAAGGTTCTAATTTTATGTAAGTAAGGCCCAATCTTTTATCCAGTTCAAGCCAGAGGCCTCGTGGTATAATTTTAAATCCAGAAGGCTGAAACTCCCTCTTATCTTCTCATCAGTTGAATTACAAAATTTAATTCTTGGCCTTTTCCCCTGCCATACAAATTTCATCAAATCTTTGTTCCAACTTTTAAAAATCTGGTTATTTCTAATTATTGGGAGAATTTGAAATAAATAAAACATTTCTGGAAGTACGTTCATTTTAATTGCGGCAATTCTCCCCATAAAAGATAKATTTTATATCTTCCACTTCTTCAGGTCTTTTTTTAATTTTCTTTCCATTTTGACTCATGATTATTTTTCAAAAGTTCATTTTTTTGGCTGCTATAATGAGGCCTCAGGTTTTGTTTTTGTTTTTTTTTAGATTTGTAGTCCTATTATTTCTTTCAAGTCTTCTTGTCTCTCTTTGAATACTTTTTTTGTCAATATAATTGTTTCCCTCTTATTTATCTTGAAGCCTGAAAGTTCCCAAAATTCTTCTATTTTATTGAACCATTTCTGTATGTTTTCTAGCGGGTCTTCTACTATACATATTAGGTCATCGGCAAAAGCTCCTCCTTTATATGACTCTTTTCTAGTTTTTGTCCCAGTCAAGTCTTTGTCAATTCTTATGTTATTTAACAGAATTTCCATTGACATTATGAAGAGTAGTGGGGGATAAGGGACAACCCTTATCCTTGAATCCTTTGGCTTTTTGACCATTAATACCTATTTTGGTGGGAGTATATAGATTTGGTTGCATTCATAAAATAATATGCTATGCCCAGTTCATTCATTAACAACAGAAAGAAGTCCCAATTTATATTGTTGAAGATCTTTTCCTCAACAAAGACAATTAGTGCCTGTTCTTTTTGGTTATTTGCCTCATAGTATTAAATTATGTCCAGACTATTTCTCACATTTTCTTTTATATGTCTCTGAGGTAACAAGCCTGTTTGATCTTCATTGATCCACTCATTTAAAAATATTTTCAATTGCTCTGCTAGTACATTTGTGGATATGTTGTAATCTATATTCAATAATGATATTGGTCGATATCTGTCAGGTCTGATTTTTCTTTATGGATCATAGTAATATTCACCATCTTCCGCATCTCAGGAATCTTTTGTTGATTTAAAGCATGATTCATTATTCTCTTTAAATATGGGTTTATTTCCTCCTCCATAGTTTTGTAATATAGGGCAGTTATTCCATCGGGGCCTGGTGCTTTACTGACATCCAATTTCTTTATAGCTTTCTGAATTTCTTCCTCCGTTATTTCCTTGTTAAGTTCTTTTCGCTAGTGTTCTGAGAACTTCTGTAAATTTTGCTTTCCTAAATATTGTACTACATCTTCTTTCTTTATCTGATCATTGGAATATAATTTCGTATAGTATTTGTTGAATTGATTTAAAATATCTTTATCCAATGTGTAATTCTTGTTTCCAGAATGGATCTTTAAAACATGTTGAGCTTGTTTTTTTTCTTTTTCTTTCATGCTAACCACTTCCCTGGCTTATTTGCATTTTGAAAATACTATTGTTTCACAAATTTTAATTTTTGGCTAGTTGTTCCATTTTTAAACAGTTCCTCTGTTTCTGTAGTAATTCTAATTCTTGATTTATTTTCATGCCCTTGCGGTTTCTTTGGAATTTTTCTTCTGCTTCAGCTATTGCTTTCTGTATCTTCTAAAATTCTTCATTATATTTTTTGTTTCTTATTGAATTTTGTTGAATGAAATGACCTTGCATTATTGCCTTACTGGCATCCCATATGGTTAATATGGAAGCTTTTGGAATGCCATTAACTGTAAAAATTCTTTTAGTATTTTCCTATTCTTTTTGATGTCTTTCTCTGATTTAAGTAAATTATAATTGAGTCTCCATTTATGTGGTTTTTGGATCTGGTTTATTATTGTTTCTATTGGGCAATGATCCAAGTGCCACCTTGGTAGGATTTTTTTTTTCTAAATTTTGTTGACAATGCATTTGTGGTCCATACCATATCAATTCTGGACCACCCTTGATGTCTGTTTGAGTAAAAAGTGAAATCTTTCTCTTCGGGGTGGTGTATTCTCCAAATATCTTGTAAATTGAATTCATATAATAGATTCAAGAAGGAACTTGGCAGTCTTCCCACAGATTTTTTCTTTTGTTCTTTACTTTTGTCCAAAGAAGTTTCCATCACACTGTTTAATTCTCCTAGAATAATTAATTCATCAAATTTTCTTCTAGAATTTTTTTCACAAAAGCTGTTTTGGGCCCATTTGGGGCATAAACATTTCAAATCAAGACTTTTTGATTGTTCAATTTTATGAAGATGACAATTGTTCTGCCTTCTTGATCTTTGAAGGCAAGTTCTGCTGGTATTTTACAATTTCTCTATAATACAACCTTTCCGTTTTTCTCCAAGGCTGATACATAATATTCTTTGCCAAGATTCTTTTGAGACAAGTGAACTTTATGTTTTGGGAGATGTGAGTTTCTTGAAGAACCACAATGTTGTAGTTAACTTTTTAAAATATGTCTAAAAAGAATCTTCTTTTATCTGGTCAATTGAGTCTGTTAACGTTGTTTGAATAACATCTAATTTCCATTTAATTCTTCTGCTTGTTCTTCATCCACAATATCCAAATTCATTTGAGCTAATCCAGAAGGTGAGTCTGTCTTGTCCGGGGATTTGGTCTGTGGCTTTTTCTTTGTATTCTCTTTGTTCCTGTGGTTTGGGTCTTTCCATGTTCTTTTTCAGCTTTTTGTAAAATTCTTTAGCTTTGTTTCCCATTGTAAGCCATATTTTTCCTCTTTGTAAGTCACCATTACTCTTTCCGATCTTTCCCACCTTTTCAATTATCAATTCGTTCATTAGGAACATATACTTCCTTTTTTTTTAAGGACTGAAGCAGGGAATTCTTTTTGTATGGCTATTCTTTCACCTTGTAATGTTTCTGCTGCTACATTTCAGAACTTCATCTCTTATTATTTTTCTTTCAAAGTGTGCAATCACGTCTCTTGCGACTTTGTTTCTTATTGCATAATTTGATCTCTATCTTCTTCAGTATTTTCTATTAGTTCTGCCACCATTTTTTTTACAATTTGTTGACTATCTTCTTTGCTGTCTTCTTGTATATTTTGGAATCTTAACTGGAACTCCATCTCTTTTTGCTCCAGTCATTCTTGTTTAATTTCTAGTTTTGCATTTTTGATTCTAAGTTCTCCACGTTAGATTGTAATTTATCTTGTACTTTTCCCAATTTTTATTTATTTTGTTTTATATTCTTAATTTCCTGTTGAATAATATTCATATCTTTTTCACCATATTTAATTCATTAGTGATCACTCTTTTAATTTAATTTTTCTGTAATCTCCATTCTCAACATTTGTTCTTGCGATAATTTTTGATAAGCATCTTGTTTCTCATAAAAATTTTGAATTTCCTTTATCATTGATGTCTTCTGGAATTGCTGATCTTCCAGGGATAGTTTTTTCTCTCTTCAAATTTAAGTTTAGGGGTCACCATTTCCTTGGGGGTATATAGTCTTCTTTATAATCTTCTTGTCAATTTAAATTTAATTAATAAAATATGTTATAGATTAATATCCAATTAACAGGTAGTAAATTAATAAGTTAATATTTTAATTAACGTACCAATTAATATGCTGAAATTTTAATGTGCTGCTAATTTCTTCTCTGGCACAATGCTCTGTATTTTATTAAGTTGAATCCACCTCTTTATTTATAGTTTAATTCATTTAATATTTTATCCTATTAATTATATTATTTTGATTGTTCCTCTTTCTTATATATCAATTAATTCAATATTTTATACAATTATCTTCATTTATAGTTCTATAGTCTTCTGTTTCCCTCCACTTTATGGTATTGTTAAATCCTCTACTTCTAGGTTAATCTCCTGTTGATGTATTGCCAGGTTTCTTTTTTTTACTCTTCTCCATCAGGCCGTTTCTCTGTTAACTATCCTCCTCCAAATCCTGATCTCAGTACCTCCTTGCCTTTGCCCTCCTCTTTCTTGTTCTCCATCACCACTGTTTCTGCTCCTTCTGCTTGGGCTCCTTACTTTGGGATTCCCTCATCAGTTGAGATCAGTCTATTGCCCTTCTCCTTCTTTACTTCCTGGACTCTTTGATTCTGCTATGTAATTTCCGGTCTCCAAATTTTAATTCTATCTATAACTAACTCAATTTTCCTCTGCAATCCCTTTCAAAATGGTGACACAAAGTGCTTCCATTTTGAAAGGGGCTGCAAAGCAAAATATCTAGCCTTGCTTGAAGGGAACTGGCACCTGCCCCTTGCATAATTCCCTATCCCTGGTATGGAACAAGTGTTGGCAAATGGCAGCCCTAGTCTAGATCTTCTTCAACATTTTTCCATTTGCAATCACTTTCCACTGTGAAATTTTTATGTGACTCTAAAATATTGGTATAAAAACATAGAAATAAGACATTTACTGATAATAAACCAGGATTTCTAAGGCTTACTAAACAGGCTGATTTCCTTTTTGTGGAGTACAACTGAGGCATTTTCTGTAAAGTCCACTATAAACATTGCATGCCATTGCTAACAGACTCATGAAAATGTTAGAAACCTTTTACATTGAGTTAAGAGGATGCCATTTAGGGTCAGAATTAGAGATGGGAAAGTCTGAAAAAAAAACCCTTGAAAAATTGGGGAAAAATGTTTTTTTCCTCAAAGCATTTTCCCAGAAAACTTGAAAAAAAGCCGTGGACCCCAGGAGGCTTCAGATATCATAAAAGCTAGGTTTGGGATCATATGCTTCCCTTGCAATTCTGCTGGCCATCAAGTGGATGGGAGGGAGCCAGCAATAACAAATTCTACATACTTTCTCCCTACCCCCCCTCCCCCCTCCCAATTTGGGTTTGTTTTTTGTTTTAGGCCTTTTCATCACTAGTCAGGACTCACAGTTTAAGAAGTGGTGGTCTAGATGTTGATGGATTGCTACTTTTATTAACCCTTCATAGATTGATGCATTGATACTGTTAATTTTTCAAAACTAGGATTTGTCATTTTTGAAATCAGAAAGAGAGGAGGAGAAGGAGGAGGAGGATGACAATGATTATGACTCTGGAAGGCCACACTATTCCTACTCCAGTACAATCAGATAAAACTCTAGTGCATTTAATGAAAATAGAAATTGGTTGAGATATTATTTGTAAACCCCTGCCAAGTACTTACTGGAAACATGAAAGGATTTCACCCTCTTGCCTTCTCCAGCTTTATTACTAGCCACGCATCTATACAGAGCAAATACATTTGTAGTGTGAATGACGAGAGTGCTTACGGTCTACAAGAGAAAGAGGCAAAGCAAAGTCAGGGCTTTCCCGAATCCCACACAATAAGTCAGATGTAGCTATGCAAGCTATTATAAATTCCATTCCAACACAACCTACCATTGTTTGAGTATCCTGTTTGCACCTGAAGTTTACATGATCTGCTGCTTACCCATTCTGGCAAACAAAAGTGAAATTGTTTAACTTTCCTAAATCACATTGCTACAATTGTCAATCGAGATCTGACTTTGGCCAACTGAGATCTTAACATTTTAAGTAAAACCCAAAATAGAACACTTTCTCCAACATTCCTTTTGGCCAACTTGAAGTGTGTTTATGCAAAAGTGGGTCTCATGGTGTGCTACATGATTTGCATTGTAATAATTTAGCCAGGAATTCAGCCTTCAGTTGCAATCCAAATCTGACTGGACACAAGTCCTACTCTGAACAAATTTGCATATATTTTGTTCTTAGTCTTCATAAATGCTTAAATGACATCTGCCATTATGCAAGGTGATATAGTACAATCACTATTCATATGGAGCCAAGTATCCATGGTTTCGCCTATCCCCATCTGACAAAATATGTCCTCTCTATAAATCTTCTAGGTCCTCCAGTTGATTCTAAAGTATATTTCCACCGGAAGCTACCACAGAGTTGTGTCCAGGTTGACTCTATTGTAACTTCCAGTGAAGATCATTCATTTCAGTAGGCTTTGCTGTTATCCACAGTTTCATATTTCCACTGGCAAGTTAAGAAATGTATCCCTCACAGATACAAGGGCTATACTGATCAGCTAAATAATGTAGAAATCTATATTACTGTGGTTTATCCTTTATAAATACTTATATTTTCCAATTTTACCATTGTAATTCTATATTTTCATATTTTGGTATGATATGGTAAGATATGGTAGGGATTTATTTAGATGCATACAGCTGAGTGGCAGTGTAGGACAAAAGATATTCTCCAAATATTATGATCTGGCCCTATCAGTATTTGCCAAGCATCTCTATTGCACCGGGATTGTGGCACAGCTGGTTGAGCATCAACTGCATTAAGATCACTTCTGACCAAAAGGTCATGAGTTCAAAGCCAGCCCGGGTCGGAGTGAGTGTCCGACCAATTGTGTAGCTTGTTGTTGACCTTTGCAACCCGAAAGACAGTTGCTTCTGTTAAGTAGGAAAATTTGGTACGACCTATGTGTGGGGAGGCTAATTTAACTAATTTATGAGGCCATAAAAAAGACTCCAGCAAAGCATGCGGGGAATGCGGAAGTACTTCATCAATGTCGCAGATGGACGATGAAAGCGACAGCTCCCCTGGCGGCCAGAAAAAGTTAAATAGCCTCTGTGTATGTCTATATACATTGTATATCTAATTGGCATTGAATGTTTGCCATATATGTGTACATTGTAATGAATCTTAGTCCCCTGCGGGGTGAGAAGGGTGGAATATAAATACTGTAAATAAATAAATAATAAATAAATAAATTTGAAAACTAACACATTTTAATACTCATTACATGTGTAAGGAAATTATGTTCATTATGCTATTTGTTGCCCTACTTCATTGATTTGTTGTCTCTTTTTGTGCACAAAATGATTGGCATTGATCAGATGATAAAACTTGGTAAAGGATGTTTTTAAAGGAAGTATTAAAAACTAAGACATTATTACTTACTAGACAAAATTTCTTACATGTTTCATTGTTTTCAAATATAATTTAGTTTTGCCCACATTATTAAAAACTAGCTGCTGTTCACAAAATTATTTTTAATGCATGACTTCCAAGCTTTGGCCAGAATTGTAAGTTTTCTAAGTCCATCACTAACCTGAATGGTTCTCTGTTTCATGGTTATAATTCTACATGTTAACAGGAAAACATCACACTTATGTCACAATAATTCTACATGTCAACAGGAGAATGTCACACTTATATAGGAGTTCTGTCCAATTATCTCTAGACACAGTTGTTTCTACAGTGGATCCTTGGCATTCATGGAGGTTTGTCTCAGCAACCCCCAAGGGTACCAAAAGCCCACAGGAATGTCAGGTAAGCCACTAAATTAAATCTCTTTTGATTCCTTCAAAGAACATTGCAAATACAGAAAACAGATAATAACCTCACCTTCTTTTTTCCAGCAATAATAGCAGACCGAGGTTTTATTATTTCAGTCTGATTCCCATCTCTCCTATCAGTTATAACTTTCAATTTCTTACAGGAATAAGGATTGTTTTCTAGTCCAGCTTGGCTGCAAGAGAAAGACGACTGAAATATTACATTTCAGGAGTTTATATCTTTGTATGCCTTAATAAATGATGAAATAGGTATGTGAACAAAAGAGATAGAAGTTCAGGACCACACACACAGCCCAGTGCCCACTCCAGCCCCACTATTTCACTTCTTTTTTTAACTGGCAGCAATGGGTGGGTGAGGGGGATTCCCTTCCCATCATTTTTGGCAATTGCATGGTTTGTCCTTGTATCCTTCATTATGACCTGAATTAAATGCATTAGAGTTACTTAAGATACCACTATTTCTGTTATGTTTTCCCCTCCGTCTGCAGAAGAGAACTGAGTTTAAAAACAAGGTGTAAGATAGCACTAATTCTGAGGTGTTTTCCCCTTCATCTGTAGAAGAGAACTGAGTTTAAAGATACCAACAACAACAATTTTATTGATTAGCCAGTTGGCCTTATCAAAAAGAGACAGTGCAAACACAACATACAACATACGTCTGATCCTATTAAAATTGAATACAAATATATAGGAATTTATCAACTTAAAACCAATGTAGCTTAGCCATAGATATATGCATCAACTATCCTCATCTCCCCTACACTGCACCCCAATCTGGTCTATGTACTCTGATCTCCTTTTAGCAGCTTTAAACAAATAAAGGGCAACTTGTGTTGTCAGAATGGGGTTAAAACCAGATTGAAGATACCAGTATTTCTGTAATGTTTTCTCTCCGTCTGCAGAGTGGCAGTGGGTGAGGTGAGGCGAGGCAAGGCAGGCAGCAGGCAAGGCGGATGGCGTTCTTATCTTCTTATTGGCCCAACAGGTAGGGCTCAGAGGTAAAATACTAGCACACATCAATGCTCGGAGGGCTGTGTGAGGAGCGCCATGTGCCCCCAAATAGATTATAACCATTCGCACTTTCTTTCATTTTCGGGCTTATTTTTGTACCATAGGGGGTTAGTGTTCCGTGCCCCCAAATGAAACAAAAGGAACAAAACAAATGAAATGGAAGAAACAAATACTGCACACAGGATTACATTAAAAGAACAGTTTATTAAACTGCAAAAACCTTGTTTTTGTGGGACATTCTGCTATAGTTTTTCAATTAATACCTCACAGAGTATCAACCACATTAACCTCACAGAGTATCAACCACTTCAACATAGTTTGTGGCAGCCACAAAATAAGTACCACAAAAATTAATAGGAATTAACATTTTCAAACCAGGAACATATTTTTTTTAATTTTGTTACATAGTGTATTGCAACCTCATCATAAAGCACAGACACAGTGTCCCACTTCACTGAGTTTCTGTGAGGAAAGAGGGCACAATGGGGTGAATCTATCACTCTATGTGCAACTCCCTCTCCGTGATGCTTTCCTCATCTCATATGCAGAGATCCCATGCTGGCTCCATTTGGAGTATTGGAGTGGAATTTTTCCTGATATTTCCATGTGTTTAATTAATCCAGAATAAACTGGGAAATCCCAGTTTATTATGGATTAATTCAGATTTTTCTGACGCGTAATTTAGATGCCTCAGATAAACCTATGACAGGTCCCGCATTTTGGGCCTATCTGCATGGGCCTGGAGTGATACTTAATTTCTTTCATTCCTTTTTTTGTGCCAGTGGTGACAATACTGATGTGGTTCCCTCCAATAAAAACAAATATATAGCACAACCTACAGAATCCTATGATGTTTAAACTAGGAGTATTATTGGTTAAACTGTGATTCATGCAGAAAAGCCAGGCTCTGCTGGAAACAAAGTGTCATCTAAAGGGTTTTATGGGAGGGGTGGGTTGTCTAGACAAGGCCTGCCCTTTGTTTTTAACTCTCTGTAGATATTTTTACTCTTGGTGCTCAAGCTTTTAACTTGCTTCTTAGCTGGAAATGCATCACTCTGGCTTTAAAGAACTCAGGCTCCATTTATACTGCCATATAATCCAGTTTGAACAGCATTCTGGTTTACAAAAGAGGAGGGAAAGTACTCTATGGCTCCCTCTTACATCTTAAATTAACCTACTAGTAGTATTAGTACCCTGGTTTTCTCCTTGGAGTAGAATCCAAAGTGATTCCCAGTTTGCTCCCAAAAGAAGTTCAAGGAAATTTTGAGCAGATCACCCAAGACAAAGAAGAATGACAGCTAGTGAGATAAAATTATGCATATTATAATTTGTCATATAGTGTGTATATGGAAAGGTGCCTTCAGGTGATCTTAGGGGCAGTTATAGTATGTAGAATAGGGGACGTGTCCACTTCTTTGAATTATTGGGCTCAAACAAGAAAAATATTGAAAAAGTGATGCTCAAAAAAGAGAATCAGAGACACATCCAGAACAATGAATAAATCATATTGTACTTACTGAGGGTTGAAAGTACATTCTTCTTCCAACTGCCAGCACCACTGAATCTTGACTGATGCTGGAACAGCATTGACTGCACATGTTAACATAGAAAAGAACAGTTTTATGTGTCATTGTGTTATTGCACAACAAAATTGCATGCCTTCCCCCACAAACACCACAAAGCAAAACACACATCCTTCCACACGCCCATCACTACCACAAAACCCTCACTGCCACATCAGTGTGAAACCATGGAGTTCAATATAGCCTCTGCTCTAGGATAAAAGCTATAAACTGATGTTTATCTAGTGCATGTGGAAGGCAAGAAATGATATGCCTGCAGACCAGTTTTAAAATAGTCTCTAATAGCTTTTCTCATCCCAGTCCAATTTGTATCAGAACTTGTCAACTGTAGAACCTCCTTGCTTCACAAGACATGTTCGAAAGAAGGAGGAACACACACAAAAAAACATAGGAACACACACAAGACAAGGGGAGAAGCACCCAGCTGCAGTAGCCACCTGTGCAGCCATCTTGAGTGGAGCCATTTTGAGTGGGGCCATGAAGTGCAATGACTGGTAATTTGACCATAGGAAAGGAACAACGGAAATGATATCGGACTGTGGGCTAACGATGAGACGATTCGGAATTTAGTAGAAATTTTGTAGTAATGTTGTTGTTTGATAGGATGTTTTTTGATAATGACGAATTTGTGGATTGTTTGCATTATGTTTGTAATTTGCACTTGTTTTTTCATGTTGTACACCACAATGAGTTGCCCTTAAAATTGCGGTATATAAGCGCAGTAAATAAATAAATAAATAAATTTATAAGAATCCACAGGAACTAAAAGAACAGTCTCACCAATATGAGGAGCAACTACAGGTGAGAAAAAGAGATAAACATCTTTATTAATAGGTTTGTGTCCTAAGGGCTCCACAGAGCAGTTTAAGAACCGTTGCATTAGACAGTAATTGCCAAGGAAGGTAATTCATGTGTGATTTTTTTTCCATTGGTGAGTACAAGGCTGTAAAGAACTTGCTGAAGAAACCGTTGCCCACAAAATATCATACTGCAAGACTGTCCCCAGGCCATGTTTTCTCCATTCCTCCATGAAATGAACATTAGGCTGATATCCTACATTTCCTATGAAATTACCTTCACCCTTCCATACCACCAAAGAGACATTGTTGTCCCCCAAACAAGCCATTTTTGTATTAGCGGGATACCATAATTTCTCCAGCAGCCAAATGAAGGAGAATTGTGAAGTGAGAAGTTAGACAGTAGGGGTGTTCAAAACTTCAAATATCATTTCAGATTTTGGGTAATTTCGGCGACTTAGAGATAAGAACTACCAAAATATGAACCGATGAAGGACCCCTCCAAAGCATTAACAAAACAAAACAAAATACAAACCACCACATCTTTCAGATAAATTCAAAAAAGATTTGTTGATTCAGACTTTTTTCAAAGTAACATGATTATTGTGAGAGCAACATTGCATTCAGGTGAAGAGCTCTCAATTTTATGGACCTGGAATTCATGTATTCAAGTTTCCATTATGTTCCTGAGTCTGGGTCTTGTGGGGCATAGTTTTGACTGCCTTGGATTTATGTACCTGGTATTTGAATAACTTGGTGGAATCTAGAGACTTTCCTTGTATGAATTTTTGGACTCTTGGCTTTTATGGAAATCACCTTTTGAACTTTGACTCTCTTTTAAAATATATTTGCTTGCTTTTCATATATTCAGCTTTTATTATACTCTGCTTTTAATAAATTCTTACATTGTAGCACCTGGACAGTGTGTAGTTTGTGGTGAGAAGGTATTTCAGGGCTCTAGTGCAACAATGATAATATTACTCTGCTGCTCCAGGGGTGGGGACTGGCTGCTGGCATGATGACAAGAGCAGCTACATGCAGGGTTTTTCCCTCGTTAGCCAATCAGAAGAAGAAAGCGGATCACATGGCTTTTGCAAAGCTGGTCTAAATACTCCTGTACACGGCTTTTTGTAAAGCTGGTCTAAATATATCTGCACAGAGGTCCTCCATTTTCTGTGGCGTGGCATTGGAGGAGGGAGAGAGAGCATGTCCTTAATAGCTCCGTTTGGTTTCTTAGTACCAGTGTGCCTATCTAACTTTTTGGGAATTCTTTTTCTTTTGACATCTATCTTCCTTACCATTACCACGTATATTTTCCAAATTCCACTAGGAAAGTGTGGCTGGGCATGTGTGTGTGTGTGGGGGGGGGGGGGGAGGGATGAGTTTAAAAGGGCATTTTGCTTGTTTTTATTTTAATTTAATCTGCTAAGCATTACTAGGATTTCAAATTGAAAGGGATACCTCTTTTGTTTGTTTTTTAAAAAACACATTTTATTTGTAGAAACTTTAAACATTTCCTAAATCTCAGTGGATGAGCAAAATGTTCTGAAACTTGGCAGGCTTACAGTTGTTAATGTGGCCTCCAAGTGTGGCAAGTTTTACCCTGATAGCTGAATAAATGACAGAAAGACAAGCCTCACAAATGTCTTCATTAGCAGTAATAGACTGAATCTTATAGAAATGAAAACAAAACTCTGGTTTTCGAATTACAATCTGAACCCTACCCCCCCCCCCCCCGAATCACCCAAAATGAAGCCGGGGGGGGGGGGAGAGGGTCTAAAATTTGAAACAAAACTAAAACAAATTTCTGGTGTTTCACACACCGCTACTAGACAGGACAGTACAGGAAGGGCAGGAAGGATGGATGAGGTATACAAGGAAGGCAGAGTAGGATTTGGTAAAAGAGCACTCTGAAGACAGGAAAAGAGCAGGACACAAACACACATTCTGGGTAAACTGAAAACCATTATTATTATTATTATTATTATTATTATATTATTATTATTATCATCATCATCATTATTACAACCAGAATTTTACTCTGATTAAAGCCAGGTTGTCGGAGAAGGATTTTACCATTCACAAACAGATGAAATGTATTTTTTTCCTGCTCCTTGTTTATGGGATTGGTCAGCACAACAGTATAAATCCCAGCTTCTTTTTCATTTGTTTCAGTAATTGTCACGGAGTAACCGAATTTAACAATACGATTTGCAGCAATGGGGTTTCCATTTTTATACCTGCAGAAAAAACAACTGGTCCTGTGTTAATGTTGAATGATAATGTATTTACACAACATAGATATTAGCATTCTATCTGTACCTAAGCTGAAGAGCCCAGAGTGAAAATGGGATGCACATTTATTATTATGCTTATTACTTTAAAGACTTCCATATTTATAATATGTCAGTCACTGCAATATTGACTGATGCTGAATCTACATTGCCCTATATCCCAGGATCTTGTTGGCAAGGGTTGGCCTCTTTCCAAAGGCACAATGGCCCTGCCAGACTCCCCAAATTATTGTCTCCTACAATACAGCTCTCACACAGAATGTTGCAAGGCATGCCAAATTAACCAGTCCGATTCCAGCATGGTTCTTATCAACAAGCTCCTAGACTTTATTTCTCTTTAGTTAATTAGAGTCCGGAACTCTGTGCTTTCATTCAAAGAAACCTTAAAGGTGTTTTATTCTTAGTTCATTTCGTATTTACAGGTTATTTACAATTCACTAGATACTCACAATAGTCAAGGATGTTACAGTTGAGAGAGAAGCAATGAGTGAGAGAACTAGCACATGGCTCTCTTCCTTATATAGTCTCAACACTGTCCTACCCATCATGCCTAGGGTGTGATGTGAAAAACTTGTCACCCTGTCGCATGGACGTGATACAGCATTACACAGCTTCCTGACCAACCCCACTTACTTTTAACCTTAAGTAACTTCTACCAGCAGTGAACACATGTTCTGGAGGAAGTATTTTTTCATGCACACATTTCAACCCATGAAGTTTGCATTTCTAGCAAATACAAAGCAATATCTGACTAACAGATCTGATCCCAGATATCTAGCAGTGTAAACTCATATAATTCCAGTTCAAAGCAGATAATCTGGGATCAGATCCTGGGATACAGGGCAGCCTTGTTTCTTTTAATGTTTTAATGTGTTTTCATTTGTACAAAGCTGTTGATTTTGAATTGTTTTTTTATTTGCTATACATGGCTTTGGTGCTTTTATTGAAAGTGGCATAAAATGTTTTAAATAAAATAAATTATCTTGTGAACATAAGGAAACAGTAGCAAAGTAAAGGATTCAAATCACTTTTAAAAAGAAAACCTTTTCTTATTCTTACCTTTTTGCATCTGGTGTTGGATAAGCTCTGAACAGCACAGGAATTTTAGCTGGTTCACCCACTTTTGTGTCCACCAAGGATGGCGTTCTTCCCAAATAAATGAAAGGTTTTTCTGTTCAGATTTTAATGGAAACAAACATTTCAAAGTATTTAATTTTCTTTTGCTGTTTCCAGAAATGCATGCTTTTAGATATCGTATCCCAAAACAATAGTGACTAGACTACTGAACTGAAATACTGTGGGGGTTTTTTTAAAAAAAAGATTGAGGTGATATCATCATGTCATGCTTTACTCTGAACTATCAGAAATTTCATCCCAGCGTTTAACTAAGATCACATTTATTACCACTTACAAATGGGTGATATGTTGACAATATACCATATAGTTCTTTGCTGTGGGTGCACCTACACTGTTGAATGAATGCAGTTTGACACCACTTTGTCTGAAATGGTTCAATGCTATGGAATCATGCAAGTTGTAATTTTACAAGGTGTTTAGTAGTGGTGTGCAATTTTTTCATTAGTTGTTGTAAGTTGTATCAAATTTGTTAAATTCATACTTACAATGCAATATCTGACATGTGGGCATGGCCCGCACCAAAAACTTAAGAACTAAAACTTACCCAATACTTTTTTGTTTGAATTTTTTAAATCTCAGAAACCTCCCAAAGTCAGTTTCACTGTCAAAAAGACTTTGCTTTGCTTCCTTGCACAGGAGGTTTGGGGGGGGGGGGATCCCTCATCCTGGTTCCCAATCTCCTGATGCATCATTTAGATATGCCAGAAGTTTTCCAAGGAGGGGCCAGAGCATGCAGTCAGCCCCTCAGGTAAGTTTAGGGGCTAAAATAGGGGTTGGGGGCTAGCTCCATGCCTTCCCAAGTAAACCTCTTGTTGAACTGGGCGAGAATGTAGCCACTTCCCCCAGGGAAAGCCCGGGCTTGGGACTAGGGGTGGGGAAAAATCTTTGGAAAAACTGAAGGTAACAAGAAAACCATCTAGAACCAGAATGAGCTGACAATGTGACTACCTGGGATGACTTGGGCTGGATCTACACTGCCATATAATCCAGTTCAATGCAGATAATCTGGATTTTATATGGCATTGCAGATGGGGCCTTCAAGGAAGAGATGTCATCTGATACAATAAGAGAATAGGCTTGATCTGTGGTTCTGCTTTCAAAACTCTCTGTAATTATGCTTTAAGAGAAACAACTCTTGCAATGTTTGATTTCTTTTATTGGGAGGGGGTTATAACTCCTTGAATTTTCCTGTCAGGATGACTATTAGTTYATGGAGGATTGTAGGAGTTGAAGCCTATAAAGAGAAACTTCTCCATGCCCCGCAAACCTGTATGTTGGAATATTAGTTTCTACGCATGAAAGGTTGTTCAGAGCCCTGCTGCTTCCTGTCACCCACMACCCCACTTCTTTGCCTGTGTTTTTTCTGTTTGTCCTGGCTACCTCTCTCTTCAAGTCCAGCCAAGAGCAAAACTGCTGGAGGATGTGGATTCAGAAAATATTTATATAATGATRTTCACAAACAAAACAGAGTCCTTGGAATATTCACACAAAAGCTTATAAACACAAAGTCTTTATCTTCACAGTCTTGTTCTTCAGAAGTTGCAGCAAATAATACAATTCCAGCAATTCCAAACCTCTTTCCAGCTTCTTCCCAGTGTCTTTCCAGCCTCCAGCCAACCTCTCTCCAACCTTCAACATCCAGCATCTACTSCAACCTCAAACATCCAACCAATATCAAATCTACATCAAGTAATACAATGTGCTTAGTTTCTATAAGTAGTACCTAAGCTTCCACAGGTGGCTTGATTGTTGCTGGCCATACAATGATTGGACATGATTCTTACAATCACTTACTCATTTTTCACTTAAGAAATTACATAAACAATATAAAACTCTGACAGGGAGTTCTCCTGGACTCATCACTGACCCTGGAACCTCAGGTCTTGGCCGTGGCCAGGGGAGCATTTGCACAATTAAAACTTGTGCACCAGCTGCACTCGTACCTTGGGACGTCAGATTTGGCCATGGTGGTCAATGCTCTAGTCACATTCTGAATAGATTACAGCAACAAACTACGTGCCGTTGCCTTTGAAGACTGTTCGGAAGCTTCAAATGGTCCAATGGGTGGCAGCCAGGTTGATCACCTCCTGCTACCAAGCACAATTCAAAGTGCTGGCTTTAGCATATAAAGCCCTAAACAGTTCCAGCCCAGCTTACCTGTCCAAACGTATCTCCTCCTGTGAACCACCTCAGAGATTAAGATCATCTGGGGAGGCCCTGCTCTCAGTCCCACCGCCTTCACAGTGTGACTGGTGGGAACGAGAGACAGGGCCTTCTTAGTGGTGGCCCCTTGGCTGTGGAACTCCCTCTCTAATGATATTAGAGAAGCTCCCTCTCTTCTGGCCTTCAGAAGGAAAGTGAACACCTGGCTCTGGGGTCAACCTTTGGAGATTAACAACAGTGCAATAATAGCTACAGAATTATGTGCAAGGACGTTTGGAATGGCCCTGGATTACGATTGTGGATGGTCTGGTTTTTAATAGTGATTATAATGTTTTATATGTTTTTAATGTGTATTAAATTTTAATTTTAAATCTTTAACTTAATGTATTTTAACTGGTTGTTGGTCAAAGGGACTGAATAGTTGCCATATGTAAAGCTGCCTTGAGTCCCCTTCGGGGTAGAGAAAGGTGGGATACAAACAGAGTAAATAAATAAATAAATAAGTACGAGGCCAAATAATATGAAGCTGATGTTTCTTCAGTGTGGTCACTGTGAAATCCACACCTGTGGTATTTCCTGCATCCACGCAGCTGATTCGGATCCTTATTGAAAAGCTTTTGTCAAATTAGAGACTCCAGCCCCGCCCATCCACTCCAGTAATAAAGCCAGGCAGCGGGGCTTGAGGCCTTAGTTCCTTTTGTCCGCAAAAGCAGCAACAACTCGGTGTTCTCTCCTAAAACAACTATTGGTTTGACTTAAGGACTCCAGTTTGACTACTCTAACAGACTGCAATTCTAACTTGTGTTCTAAAATGCCATGTCCTCTGAGGCGCAGGCTTCTTTGCCTTTGGCAATGGGCAATAACTTACCTTCTTTTTCTTCTGCTCCCCTCGCTCAAAAAGCAGAAGGGAAGAAGACTTTTAAACAGCTTACCACCCCTTTACAGAACCAGGATCCGGTAGAGTTTGTGGCAACAAAATGCCACTGTGGCTTAGTGCCAATAACTTTGTTTTGGGTTGCAGCCAAGCCTCTCAGCTGTTTCTGTTTTTGGAAGACAGCTTGCTCACACTGCTCATGCTTCCCCTGCCCCATTTACCCCAGCAGGCAGTGGATGCTGCAGCGATCCCTGCCATGCTTTTGCTCCCCTCAGGAGAGGGGAGGCTCAAGGTAGCCACGCCACCTGTGTGAGTGATGGCTAGCCAAGGCTTTGGGTCTCAGCCCATGGAATAAAATTCCTTGGATGGGCCTTCGGGCTACCATCCTCCCTCTGCATCATCCCGCCTGGGAGCTTCAGTGACGGCTCAGAATGTAAGTACTGTGTCTTTTGGGCCCCATCTGCTACTTGGCCCATGCCTCAACATGTAGGTTGGTACTATTTTGAATAGGCACAAACTGCACCCTCCTTTCCTTCTCAAGGATTTGGAGTCCCTTCTTTTGGTTTTCAGGAGTTTGATAAGACTTTTCCCCAAGCTCATTCTGGTGCTTCCTCTCAGCTGCAACCAGTCAATGAGTCTGATGTAGATTCTGACTCCTATGAGTAGCAGATTTCTCCTACTCTTGAGGAGGACTTTTCCATCCCAGCTTCCATAGGGGATGTGTTACCTAATTTTTCTTCCTTGTTTGCTCATCTGGCTCAGTCCCTTCAGTTGCCTTCCATATCTTCTTTTGATACACCAGTAGAGGATCTGCCTTTCTCAGTTGAGCAACAGCAGAAACAAACTCCAAGTACAGTTCTCCCAGCACTTCCATACTTGCTTAAGCTTGGAACACCAAAAGGCAACTCCTGTATCTGTGTCTGGAATTTCTAAGTTTGTAAATGCACTTTACTGCATAGGCACTTCTTCAGCAGAGTGGTTAGTTAAGCCTACTAAACCGAACTTTGTTGTGGTCAAAGTTGTTTAATCCAAGAAAGCTAAGACACCTCAAGTCAGTCCACTGTAATAAGAAGATCCACACTACTGCTAGCCTATTCACTTGCATGATTCATTACCATGCTTGTATGGCAGCCTATCAGGTGCTCTTGTGGCATAACTCAGCACCTTATTTGAATCTCCTTCCCCTACAACATCAACAGATCCCAAGGGCTTTCTGTCAGTAAGCTTTCACCTTAGCTTCTCATTAGAAAGATATGGCTAAGCACAGCACCGATACAGTACTAAAGGTGTTTGCTGCTGCAACGGCCATCCACCATCATGCTTGGCTGAGATCCTCTACCCTCTCCAAAGAAGGCAGAGCAAAGGCAGAAGAACTGCCCATGGCAGAACATAGTCTGTTTCATCCTGATACAGATCCTCACTTCAAAAGTACGCACACGATTTGACAGGCTGCTTCAAAGTTTGGCTTTTTACCACAATCTTTTTCAGCCTAGATTTTGGTGGCCAGCCCCTCAGCTTAATTATCATCAACCTTCATGACCTGTTTCCTTCATGAGAGACAACAAACTAAAGGGAAAGCACAGGATCAGGGCCAACAGTGTTTTTAGCATGCATTTTTCTCTTCTTTAATAGCCTCCAACCCTTCCATTCCTATTTTTGGAGCTTGGCTACATCATTTTTAGATGCATGGCGTCAGATCACTTCTGACTCATGGGCGTTGGAGATTACAGAGCATGTTTATGCTATTGAATTCCTCGAACTGCCCCCAGTAGGGACTCTACGGGCCACTCCTCCTTCTCCTGTGTAATGGCAGGAGGTACTTACTTCGCTTCAGAAAAGAGCAGTAACTTCTTTCCATCCTTCTATATTTCCTTCTTTTTTCCTTTTTCCCAAATACTTTTTGGTTTCCAACGAAGTCAGTGGGCTTTAGCCAGTTTTGGACCTTAAAGGACTTTATGCATATATTGCATATTGCAAATTTCAGATGTTGTCATTACCAACCATCCTCCCTCTGTTATCCAACAAGGCATGGCTCAGTAGCATTGATTGCAGGATGCCTATTTTCATGTGGTGATTAAACCACAAGACGGTAGATTTTTGTCACTTTTTACTAGCAGTCAGGCCTTTTCATTTCGAGTTCTTCATTATGGTATCTCCACAGCTCTACGGGTGTTACTAAGATGATGGCTGTGGTGCCGCCTCATCTTTGGGTGCACGGGGTAGTAGTTTACCCCCATATTGATGGCTGGTTGTTGGTGCACAGTCCTGTGAGTATCTATAGAGGAACATTCAGTTTACTTTGTCTTTATAGCAGAAGCTTGGTCTTATTATCAACAAGGTAAAATATCTTCTTCAGCTTATCCAAACAACCCAATTCATTGGGGCTGTATTGGACTCCTGGCACGCACTTACTTGCTAGAAGACAGGTTTCTGAATCTGCATGCATTAGCTCTTTGAGTCTGGCAGAAGCCATACATCCATGCCAGGGATATCCAGTGCCTTTTGGGACACATGGCATTCACCACAGCTGCCACTACTTTCTCCTGTTCGCACCTTTGGCCTCTCCAGAATTGGTTTCTTCGGGCATTTCATCCCATGCAGGATGAACCCAATGAATGTCTCATTGTCCCTTTAGCCATCCACAGGTCTCTCAACTAGTAGACTCATCGCTCCAATCTCTGTGTGGGCGTGTTTTTACGTCCTCCAAGACCCTCAATAATGTTAGCAACAGGCACTTCCCTCTCAGGATGGTGAGCTCACCTCAAGGGTCACACCACCCATGGTCCTTGGGTGGGCATAGAGCACATCAACTATTTGGAGTTACTTGTAGTAGAAATGGCACTGTCATTTTCTCATGGACAGAACAACACGATTGTGTATCAACAAATAGGGCGGGGTGTACTATCGCACTTTGCTTGCCCTCATCATCAGAATCTGGGACTGGTATATAGCCAAAACCATAACCATCAGTGCCATTCATCAAGAACTCACTTGCTGACTCCCTCAGTCAGACAGTTTATACTGACCACTAAAGGTCTCTTCATCCTTCCCAGGCATGGGAGCTCTTTGTCAGATGGCAAACTCCCCTTGTGGACTTGTTTGCCTCTCCCGCCAACATGAGGTGCCAGTTCTTTGGAGCTGTCTTACCACCACCAGACAGGCTGTTTGGGAGATACCTTCCTCCTGGATTGGACATCCGCCCTCCTGTACATCTTTCCACCACTGTCACTGCTGTCCAGAGTGGTCTCTCATCCTCAAACAGAGCAGGTCGATTGCATTCTCATCACACCATGGTGGCCCCGCCAGCCATGGTTTGTCACTCTGCTCCAACTCGCAGGCAGCTATTACATTCAGTTACCACTCAGACCGGACTTGCTGACTGTGGGCAACAGCCCAGTCCTGTACTCCCAGATCACTCAGTTCCGGTTGACAGCGTGGCAGATCCAGACTCAGCCCTCTCTCAACCAGTAAAGGACATTTTGGACCTTGCCCTGAGACCTGCCACCAAACATTCTTTCATTTGTAAGTGGTGTCATTTTTGCATTCCCCCCCCCCCCACAAAAGCATGGGGTTCAGTCTCTGTCTGCTTCCACTTCCCTCCTCCTGGATTTTTTGATTTCTCTGTTAGATTCAGGACTCTCATTATCATTCTTGAAGGTCGATCTGGCAACTATAGATTAGTTCAGAAGCGAGCATTCTCTTCCCTCTCCTTTATCCGATCCTCTTGTAAAGAGATTTCTGCAAGGCTTTAGAAATTTCTGGCCGCAAGAAGGCCTGTGCCCCCCTCTTGGAGGTTGTAGGTTGTTCTTTCCGCCCTTACGAAACCACCATTTGAGCCAATGGCCACTTCTGCCATGTCCCATCCATCATGGAAAACAGCATTTTTAGTGCCTATTACTTCTGCTCATCGCGCTAGCGAGCTTATGGCTCTTTGAGTCGATAGTCCTTACCTGAAATTTCATAAGGATAAGGTCTTGCTGCGCACAGACATTTCCTTCTTACCTAAGGCAGCATCACAGTTTCATATGTCTCAGGACATTGTCCTTCCAACCTTATTTCCAAACTCCTCTACTCCTCTGGAGCAGTCTTTACACCTTCTTGATGTGCAGAGAGCCCTTGCCTTCTATGTCCACTGCACAGCTCTATTACGAAAGTCACTAAGACTTTTTGTCAAGTACTGTAAGGACTTTGTTGGCCTTCCGGTTTCTACCCAGAGATTGGCAGCCTGGATAGTCGCAGCTATCTGGCTAGCAGGACTGGACTTACCTGTTCAGATCCATGCTCATTCCACTCAAGCAGTGGAAGCCTCTGTGGCTTTTTGCATGGTGTGTCACTGGATGACATTTGTCGGGCAGACATTTGGTCGAAACCACACATATTTGTCTCCCATTAGAAATTGGACTTGACTGCCAAAAAATGTGTGGCTTTTGGGAGAGCAATTCTTTTTCTTTTTTTTGCACTAGCATGACGCCCACCATCTATGGGACTGCTCACTAGTCTACCACAGGTGTGGATTTCACAGTGACCATGCTAAAGAAAGTAAGGTTGCTTACCTGTAACCATGTTTCTTCGAGTGGTCAACTGTGAAATTCACACAACCCGCCCATCCTCCCCGCACTCCATCATGCCTTCTATCTCCGACTGTCTTTCGCGGTACGGAACTAAGGCCTCAAGCCTCGCTGCCTGGCTTTATTACTGGAGTGGATGGGCGGGGCTGGAGTCCCTAATTTGGCAAAAGCTTTTCAATAAGGATCCGAATCAGCTGCGTGGACGCAGGAAATACCACAGGTGTGAATTTCACAGTTGACCACTCAAAGACACATGGTTACAGGTAAGCAACCTTACTATCTATATCCAAAATGTTTTAAATGCTTACACAGAAGAAAGTCTTTGATTAAAAGTGGGAATAGATTACTTCTTCTCAGAGTCATCTCAATCAATGTGGCTCCATACTGTTTCAAAACCCTTTCTTACCTTGTGGCCCCTTCTACACTGCAATATAAAATCCATATTATTTGCTTTGATAATCTGAATTATATGGCAGTGTAGAAGGAGCCTGGTGGGAATGGTGAACCCTTTCTGATTCTCCAAGGTTTTGTCTTTGCCATCAGGAACAACCACTTTGTCTGGATACTTCTGCATGGATATCACACAGTAAAACTCATCATATTTTCTAAAAGAAGGTAGGTAGGGAAGCAGGAAATATGACAATATGTGTCAGTGTGTAGCTGAAACACTATCAAACAACATTCTGGTTTATCTTTCCGTATAGAGCAAAACATTCAGATTTAATTTAGATCCAAGGCAGGGAATTACCACAGTTTTATTTCCAGTTATGTAGATCATATCTGGTTTTTCACGATATGGTTTTTCATTTTTTTTAAAAAAAAATGGTTTTTCATTTTTTTTTTAAAATGGAGCACATTATAGTGCTCCATTTTAAAAAATGGAGCACTATAATTTGGAAGCCCTGTAAAATCTACCACATTTAAATAAACACAATTAGTTTGCATGAACTTCTTTTTGAAAAACAGAAAACAAATTTAGATGCAGGCCAAATAATGTTAAGCTGATGCATCTATATCTAAAATGTTTTAAATGCTTGTTCAATGACTCTAGATTAGAATCTTTCCTTGGAGCTCATGATAGATTGAAACCAACTAGAATGCAATGGGGCAATTTACCGGCACAACAACATGGCACTAAAGGCACCAGATGTCATTGAATGTTGTAAGCCAAGCAGGGTCAACACTGATCTATAATTGGAAGGAAGGCCCCCAACAAATACCAGATGTTATAGGCTATATTTAAGAGGAAAGAATTGACAAAAACATGTCAGAGTATTCTTAGCCTAACAAGATCTTATGAAATTAATGGGTTTGTCATAATTTGACAGGTGACTAGAAAGCACATACACAACAGCAGCAACAACAATAACAACAATCAATTATTGCTCAGGATAATAAGAACTGTGCCAAGTGCGTTTCTTGGGCACCAGTTTTCAAATGGGCTACAAGGAATCAGGGTCCATTGCTGAGCAACCAGGGCATGGGCCAGTAGGGCAACTGGAAGGAAAACAATTTCAAAAGCGGCAGACATTTTCAATATCACAGAATCAAACTGCCATGAATTGCTATTATAGATCAGAACCTCAAAATGTGAATGAATGCACCAGTTGTGGAAATTTGAATATCTAGATTCAACCATAAGTGAACAAAGGCTTGCTGACCAAAGAAAATACATCACCAAGAACAAGGTGCTCAGTGAAGTCGAATTTGAAGAAATAAGAAACAACTGTGAAACAGAACAAATAACTGTGCAGACTGCTGTAGAAGATCTAATAACTTCTGAGCCCACTAAACAATTTGGTTCCAGAAGAAAATGCAGGACTTTTTCAAGATGATGAGCTTGAAAAGCCTATGGACATTGCTTATACACCTGGCACATTGACAACAAGGCAACAAGAACTTAAGGAAAAAAATTGACCCATGCTGCATTGAAAGAAAAAAAGGCAAAGATTGCCAACATTAAAGACAGTCCCAAGAAAACATCTGACACCCGTAATGAATGATATGAATGCTGCACTTGCAACTGTTCAGATAACAATGGAAGAAACTAACCAGCTTGCATACAGTACAGTAGTGATTATAACACAAGAACTGGGGGCAGAACAACCAAAACTCACAAGAAAAATGATTGAAAAAACAAAATGAAAAATTAGTTTGGAGTTAAAAATCAAGAGCCTATGATCAGATGCAAGCAATCTGAAGAACATGAAGGAAAAAAATTAAGAATGTCAAAATAAAGAATTATCTAATTAAAAAAATATTGACTAAACACAAGAAAAAAAATTGCAGAAGCACTTGAAACTGTGAAACAACAAATCATGGCAACAGTCAGAAAAATTAAGTGACATGAAACTAGAGTCATCCAGTACAAACAAAATCAACTCTTCCAATTTGATCAAAGGTGGTTCTGTGKGGGGRAAAAACAGCTACAAATGCATTCTGGAAAGATCTGTGAGAAACAGAAAAARGGTACAACAAAAAGGCTGAGTGGATAAAAGACTTTGAAAATAAGTTTTCAGAGAACAAAAAGAGAACATTGGAAATAACAACAGAAATGATCAATAAAAGAGTAAAGAAAGTCAAGAACTGGACATCACCTGGCAATGATMAATTKCATGGATTTTGGCTTAGATATTAGCCTSCACTCAAAAATGGCCAAACAATTCAATGAAATGCTGGAAAMTGGAAACATCAGCAAATGGATCACATCTGGGAAGACATACTTGATACAGAAAGATCCAGCAAAAGAGATAATACCAGAAAACTGCAGGGCAATAGCATGTCTGCCTACAATGTTCAAACTGCTGRCAARCATAATAGCTGATCAAATCCAGGAYCACTGGGAGGCAAATAACATCTTGCCAGTGGAATAAAAAGGYAATAAAAAAGAAGTAGAAGCATGAAAKATCAGTTTCTGATAGACAATATGATACTAGAGAATTACAAAAGGTGCAAAACAAACCTCTATACAACTTGGATTGATTACAAAAAAGCATTTGACTCACTGCCACATGGTTGGATCATCAAATATCTGGATGTCATCGAGGTTTGTGAAAATATTAGCAAGTTCACTGAAAATGTAATGAAAMAATGGAAAACTGAGTTGTTTGTGGGCAATGAAAGCTGTGGAACTGTTAACATAAAGAGAGGAATTTTCCAGGGAGACTCACTGTCACCATTTTTGTTCATCATTGTAATGATCCCACTGTCAGTAATTCTTCTGAAAACAAACCTGGGCTACCAAATGGCAATTCTCTTTTTGAGCCTCCATCACTTAGATTACAAGTAGCCATTTTCGAAAGTCTGCTTCCAGAGCCATGCTTTCAGTTGCTTCCTAAAGGCCGTTAACATGGGAGCTATACTAATCTCCTTGGGGAGGGCACTCCAGAGCCAAGGGGCTGCCACCAAGAAGGCCCTTTCCCTTGTCCCCACTAGCTGCGCTTGTGACGGAGGTGGGACAGTGAGAAGGGCTCCCCAGCAGACTTCAGGGCCCGGGCAGGTTCATAGGGAGAGATGTGGTCACGCAAATAGCCTTAATCCGAACGGTGTAGAGCTTTATAGATGGTAACCTGCACTTTGAATTGGGCCTGGAAACACAAAGGCAGCCAGTGGAGTTGTTTTAATGGGGAGGGGTGGTGGTGGTGGTGGTATGCTCCCTGTAATTAGCTACCTGACCGCTGCTCTTTGTACTAGTTGTAATTTTTGAGCCATCTTCAGAGACTGTCCCATGTAGACTGCATTGCAGTAATCCATCTGAGATGTAACCAAGGCATGGACCACCATGGCTAGTTCTGGTTTTTTGCAGTATGGGTGCAGCTGGCACTCAAGCTTTAATTGTGCAAAGACCCTCCCAGCCACCACCAACACCTGAGCTTCAAGGGTCAGAGCTGAATCCAGGAAGACTCCAAGCTGTGGACCTGTATCCTTAGGGGGGAGTGTTACCTCAGCCAGCACAAGTTGCCACCCTATATCCTGATCAGCCTCCTGAGTGACCAGGGGGACCTCTGTCTTGTCTGAATTAAGCTTCAGTCTGATAGCCCTTATCCAGCCCATTACATTGCCAGGCATCAGTTCAGGATCCAGACAGCTTCCTTGACTTTAGGTGGAAATAGAGTTGCATGTCACCTATATACAGATGGCACCAAACTCCAAAACTCTGAATGACCTCTCCCAGTGGTTTCATGTAGATGTTAAATAGCATGGTGAATAAAATCAAGCCTTGCGAGTCTCCACAAGCCAATGGACAGGGGTCCAAGCAGGCATCCCCAGCACCTCCTTCTGGGTCCAGCCCTCCAAGAACAAGTGGAGAAATTGCAAAACAGAGCCCTCCAAGTCCCATCCCAGAGAGTCAACCCAGAACGATACCATGGTCGATGGTGTTGAAAGCCGCTGAGAGTCCAGAAGAACCAACACTCCCCCTGCCTAGTTCTCTGCGGAGGTCATCCACCAAGGCAACCAAAGCTGTCTCTGTTCCATAGCCAGGCCTAAACCCAGACTGTGATGCATCTAGGTAATCTGTTTCATCCAATAAGTAGATAGGATGACTTCTTGAAAGAATACGAAACTGACTAGTGGCTCATGTGGATTAAAACAAAATGTTTTAAAGCAGGCATGCCTTTCAAATCTTGTTGGACTCCATCTTACACCAGTCCTAACCCTAAATGGCCAATGGGTCGGCATTATGTGGGTTCCAATCCAACATTTTTTAAGGG